TATACCTATAGCTAACTAAATGCTAAATTGTCACTCTATGTGATATCGGGTAAATGGACTGTCGGGTAAGTAGTTTTAGGGGAATTGCGCGACAACCCAAATAACGATGTTTTTAAATATAAAAACTAATATACTTGTTTTTTTTTGTATTATTTTATCAAGTTTTATTTTTTTAATTTCAATTTTATTACTAACTTTTTGTCTCATACAACAATATTTATTAAGCATTAGTTTATTTAAAATAACGAAATAAAAATTTAATTTTACAAATCAATATTTTTTAAATGCGTAATTACATCACTAATACTGTCAATTAGACTCTAGATTACATAGACTAGATTCTATTGAATTTATTACTGAAACAAAGTACCTGCAACCGATCATACTCCACTTTGCATAATATGATTACCTGTGTGGTATAGATTAAAAAGAAACTATAAATTTTTTGTATTTGTTTATTTTTACCAACGTACGTATAAGCTAATATAAAAAACCTTTATTAAAATGTTTAATATTTTTGTTTAATAGAATTATTATTCTTATACGTACGTATCAATCTATGCATGCATATAATCAGAGTTTGGAAATTTTAGAATTTTCCAACTAAATCAAATTATGCATATAATTAAAAAAAACTGCAGACGTTAAAAGTAACAACTGTGTAACATTACCTTGGTCACTGAGCATTTATACCATACGTAGCAAGCTTCAATTTCTAACTAGATCTTCGTCTAGTTTTTTAAGAACCTAATAATTTCTATATACCAAACAAAAGGTAATAGGTTTAAGTATTATTAATTCAGGTGAATAATAATAATAGTTCAATGTGACAAACGCGAAAAGGCGTCGAAAATATTATTTGTGGCATTCTAAACATTTGTTATAATTATTTATTAAAGTTAACCATATGATTATAAACGCGTGGTTAATAAAGAATAATTGTTAAGACAGAATAAAAAAAAAAAAAATACTTTTTTTTATTGAATTTGCTTTTATAGGCATGTACAAAAAATTAATTAGTGGCTTAAATATTATTGCATTTATTTGGGGGTTTTATTGTCAAGTTGAGAAGGCTTTGACAAAACTAGAATTCGACTTGGACAAGCCATAATGATTGTTGATCCTAAAAAGGTTTCACAATCGTATGCAAATTTTTTATTTTTTTGAAAATAAAATTATTGGTTAGATTGAGTAATACACATTATTCACGTTAATTTTTTGAAGTTTCATATTTTTTACTTTTCTAGTATCACCACGTTTTACGATATAATCACAAATTATCAACCTACATGTGTAGTTTCCAAGTTATTAATTGTATGAAATCACTAAAGGAATACAAGATTGAATCAATACGTAGATATTTGACAAACATCTTTTTTACCTGTATTTATATTTGTGCAGGTGATCTTCAATAAATGTTATATATAAGAGAGTAAACATTACAATTTTCCATTTTCTTTAGTAACTCCCCAACTTTGATTTTGTGCGTCCCACCGTCAGAGTTAATAACCTTAAAATATATTTATAAAAAATGGGTTCTTTGACGCCGTCAGCATATTTTGCATGTTGTACTATTGAAAAAACCACTCAAGATTTAGATAGTAATTTAGATACCGGTCTTAGTTCAAGAGAGGCAGTTAAGAAGAGACAATCATGCGGTTATAATGAATTTGAAGTTGAAGAGGGTGAACATCCGATTATCAAATTCTTTAAACAATTTTTAGAGAATCCACTTATCCTTTTACTACTCTGTTCCGCCGTTGTTTCTTTAATAATGGGGAATCATAAGGACGCATTTTCAGTATTCTTGGTTTGTATCGAATTCAATTTTTTTTTAATTTAATTAGATTTATCTAATTCATATTCATATTAACGATCTTTATTCAATTTAAATAATTAAATTAGGCTGTACTCATAGTTACAACTGGTAAATTTTATTCTTCTGGTTTTTGTCTTTTTCAAACACACATATATTTTAATCATAATTGATCTTAATAAATAGTCGGTTTTGTGCAGGAGTATCGTTCTGAAAAATCTCTTGAAGCTCTAAATAAATTAGTTCCTCATCATTGTCATTTAACTCGGTAAGCATTTGATCAATTTTTTTAGTAAAACCTTTTGTTTTTATGCTAATATCGATGCTATTTTTTTTTTTTAAAAAAAAAGTGATGGTCATTTGTCAACGGTTTCAGCCACAGAATTGGTACCAGGAGATCTGGTCCGGTTTAGTGTTGGTGATAGAATTCCTGCTGATATAAGATTAGTAACGGTTGGTATTTTATATTTTTTTTTAAAAAAAAAAAAAAAAAAAATAAGGAATTTATTGAAATTATTTAAATTCTGGTTAAATTGAATCTTTTAAGCTAGGCGGTAAATCTGGAAATTGACGAATCTAATCTAACTGGTGAGACGAAACCTAGAAATAAGGGTATAAATACAATTACTTCAATTTCTTCTGAAAATAATTATGTGGAATCAATTCAAGATAGAAAAAAGTAATATCTTAAAGTTAAAGCTATTAGTAGAATAGGCAAAAGAAAATAAAATAGATACTATAGAAATAAATAAATCAAATTTAAATGAACAACAAAACAAGTTCATATTAAAGAAAGATGCAAACTTTACATACTTCTAGATATTAGCAGAAGAGAACAAGCTAAAAGGTTTAGGAGTAGTAATACTAATTAGCAAAATATAGGAAAATCATATAGGCCAAATAACAAGATATAGTAAGTATTATATAGATATATTGCTAGTATTCAAAAAAGCCAAAATTCTAGTAATCGTAATATATATCTTATTAAACAATAAAGATACAAAAAAACTACTACAATAGTACATTATAAAAAAGATAAAAGAGAATAAACAGAAGGGTATTAAAGTAATCCTAGTAGGAGACTTTAATGATATTTATTCAAAAATACTAGATCAAAGTAATAACGAATTCAAAAAAAGCCAAGTATTCCTTTTGTTAGTATAGCTAGAAAGTTCAAGCTGTGAAGATATGTACAGAAAATTATACTACTCAGAAAAGAATATATCTGGTCTAACAGAAGTTCAAGTTCAAGAATAGATTATATCTAAGCTTTGAAAAATCTGAGTCGGAAATTAATAAGCTACAAAATTGTCAATGCAGAATATATCATAGGCAGTGATCATAATATCATTCAAGTATAGTTTTCTATAAGATTTAATTAAAAAAATAGCTTAGTAGCTTAAACTAAAAGAACTAAAGGAAAAAAGCATATTCTAAGACTAGAAAAAACTATAGTAAAAACTAGAATTATTATAGTCAAAAGCTTGATATAATGCTAAGAAAAAAATTAAAGTATAATATAAATGAGACAATAATAGAAGAGCATTATAAAGAGAAAAACATAAACAAGCTCTGAGACATAATAGTAGGATGTATAATTAAAAGCACATACAAATTACTATCAAATAGTAAATTCAAAATAGGTCTTAACTCAATCAGAGAACCAAGTGATAGTAATCTAATCTAAAAAGACTTAAGAACTCTAGGCAAGCTATATTATATATATATAAAAAAACAAGATATGTATATTGACAAGCATGACAAATATATATAGTTATTAAGAATTCAAAAAATTAATAAAAAACTAGGATTGTCAATAGAAGAAATAACAGAAGAGTTTTGGTTAGCAAAAAGAGAAAAAGAACTAAAAGCCTAGTGAAAGTTAATGCATACCAAAGTTTAGCAAGAAAAAAAAAAAGAAAACATAAAAGATATAAACAAATTTGTAGATATAAGATGTGTAGCAATATAGAAAGAATTAAAATATATACTAAGCAATCTTCTAGAGAGATCTTCAAACAAGATATGTATAGATAGAGTTATAATAGAAGAGGATGAAGAGGTTATACTAGTAACAGAAGAAGAAGCAATATAAAAAGAAGTAAGACTGTATTTCATATCTTAATTCTGTAAAAGAAAAGTCAGTAGTACCAGTATTATAAATAAATAGAAAGATGCATATGAACTGATTAATATAATTAATACAAGTATATACAACTCATTTGCAGAAAAAATATTATCACATGAATAGTAGTCAGTACTCTAAGATATAAAGATCAAATTAGTATTTAATTCTTCTAGAATTAGTTACTCTTTAATAAGAAAAGCAAGTAGTTTTGCACAAAAAATCTTCTTAGTATTAGCAAACAAATATGTTAGAGAAGGAGACATCCTAATAAAATAGAAAATAGAACAATTATATTCTATTCTAAAAAGAAAAGATTAGAACTACAACTTGTCGAACGTAAGATCTATTGTACTTCTCAAAGCTTTTAGAAAAGTAGTAGTACAAATAAAAAGCAAAAGACTAGATAAGATGCTAACAAAGTTTAGTAGACTTAAAGGACCTAGTTATACAGGTTTAACAGGAGGCAGTACAAGTAGCTCTATTTATATTATGAATAATTTAATTGAGAAAGCAAGAGAAAAAAATAAAGAAATCTAAATTCTCTTTTAAAATATGAAAAAAGTATTCAATTCAGTAAGCCTTACTATACTAGAAAAGGCATTAAAAAGAATAAAAATTCCTGCAAATACAAGAAAGTTCTTACTCAATCTTTTCAATGCAAGAAGAATAAAGGTTATAACTAGATTCAGTCTAACATAAAAATTTATAGCTGAAAATAGGTTAGACCAAGAAGAAGTCATTTCACTACTACTCTAGTATATTTTTTATGATCTACTACTATGTGTAATCCAATGCAAAGAAAAACTAAAATATAAAATAAGTCTAGACTAGCCAACAGATATCAACTACAACAAATCTAAAAGAATCAGTTAGAAGTAAGATGTCTTGACCTATACAGATAATATAATATAGATTGCTAAGTCAAAGAAAGAGCTTATAGAAATCATAAGAATATTAAATGAGTTTAATGATTTAAATGATATAAAGATAAATAGAAAAAAATTAGAATTACTTGTATTAAATTACAAGAATCAAAGCAATATAGACTTAGTAATCAAAGTAAAAAAAACAATAATATTGTATATGCAAAAAGAGAAACAGAAACAATTAGACACCTAGGAGTTTGAATCTCAGAAAGAGGTAGTAGTAAATGAAATGCCAAAATTATTACAAAGGAAATTACAAAAATATATAAAGTGATAAAATTCAAAAGAGCTATAGTCAGTCAACTAGTATATTTGAACAATAGTGTACTTCTACTTAGTATTGAGTATAGATTACAAACTTATTTTCTTTTTTAAAATAATTATATTAAACTATAATTATTTTTTATTTATTTACTAGCTAGTTTAAATTCTTTTAATAATTAGTATAAGAAAAATAATAATATAACAGATTATATATAAGTTTTATAAAAAAACTAAGTAAGTTTATATTTAAAAAAGTTAAACTTTTACTAAATTAAGCTAATAAAACTAGTAACTATCTAATATCTGATTAGCTATTTTGTTAGAATAACTAATCAGATATTAGATAATTAGCTTAATTTAATTTTATCTGCAATTTTAGTATAAACAGAAAAAGTCTGTGTTTACAGTATATAGAAATTTTTGAATAAAATATAAATATAATTACTAAATATTAAAAATATATATATATATAATAAAAACTATAAATTAAACAAAACTAAACAAATAACAAAAACTAAACAAATAAACTAAAACTAAATAAAAACATAATAGGCATTTGGTTTTTTAAACTCTTTTTAAATAAATTGTTATATAGAAGTTTTAACGTTGAAAAGTCAACAAACAAAACACGTCACAATCATAAAAGAGCTTTTCTAGTACATATACGATATAAAAAGCAAATAAAAATAAATAAAACAGCTGTGCTAAGCTGTAAAAAGAAGCGCTATCACTAGTTATTGAGGAGTTTGGGTATTTATGAATTGGTTTGTCATTAACCTATTGGTTTAGTAATATGCGAGGGTGGATTCGGAAGCAAATTTTAAGAAAACGTCCGTTTAAAGTTACATTTAACTTATAATTAAATACGTAGAAACATCATTTTTCTATATATTTAATTATATACCTAAAGTAAGTTAAAAAAAGTCGTTCTTCTGTAATTGGTTTTGTTAAACAAAATTTTGTCCGGCTATCTTAAATTGTGATTGGCTAATTTTGGGTCTAACTAAATCGGCTCATATGATAAAATAAATATTAAAAAATTATAGAAGTAACAATATTTATTTTAAAAAGTACTACATTACTGTACTAAGAATAAAAATTACTATAGTAGATTACATATGTACCAATAGAATAACCAAAAAGTTAGCACTTAAAAAATTAAATATCAAATAACGGGTTATGGTACGATTCCCCGAAAATTATTTACCTGAAAGTCTATTTACTCGACATCACATGAGGTGAAAATTCACTAATCAAATATACCTATAGCTAACTAAATGCTAAATTGTCACTCTATGTGATATCGGGTAAATGGACTGTCGGGTAAGTAGTTTT